TCCACAAGCAATCGAAGAACTTGATTCGACTCGAATCAAGGGACAAGAAGAGAAAGCATATTCAACAACAAGGGAGTTTGTTTGTTCATTTGCTATTTCATTCTTGTATAAATGATTCAATAACAGGTTACATTTATATTATACGAGCTCAATTATATTGTTAGAACTGAGGGCAGACGTAGCCCGAAGCGAGGACGGCAGGAGAACTGCCTCAACAAATCTTGTGCCTTTTACTTTTCGCATTTTCATTTTGCTTAATATTTGCTTGAATTTAGTTCAAACAATAATATTGAATTAAGGACTGTTGAGTAAGTGCTGAAGTAATTTTAACTATAGTACAATAGTTTATTGTACAAGGAAACTAATGCTACTTACTCAAGGCCGAAATCACTTGGAGTGCTCCGCACGCAAGTGTTTGATAAATTGTCTAAACCAAAATTCTCTTGTGCTGTCCAATTATTTTGTTGGCATATCAAAGCATTGGAACTAGTCATACCAAGTAGTGATATAAATCAATTGATAGTGTGACTAGTGTGGTGATTCTCATTGCTCATTTCTCATTATCAATTTTCAAAGGTTAGACGCATATCCGGTATTCTAATAACGGTTTGTTATAGACGGTAATTTTTCCACGGCCGCATCCGCAATTTAAACAATTTTTTAAAACCAATTTTTATGGGTAGCGCCGGCTGATTTTTTAATAAAAGATTTATTCAACCCCTTCTAGATCCGTGTTATCGTCTGACAAAAATAACATTGTTTTTAATTTTATTATTCAGTTATTTAACCGTTGAAAATAGAGTTGTTGAAAATTGTTTTATCCAATACTAACACGTATGTCATGATGTGACCATTAGGAAAAATTCTTCGTCGCATGCTTATTTTATTTTATTTGTTGCTTTTTATTTAGTTTGACATCCATCACATAGTTTTTACTCCATTTTTTTAATAAGAGTCTGCTAGATGTCTAAATTTTTCCGACCAACCTAGTTATTCCCTTAATAACATGCTTGCACGTTGTTGTGTCAAGACCAATCATGTTAATGGAAGACTCTCTAGTTGATATTCGTTTGTTCGTCCAAGATTATGTCGTGTTGAAAGGGGAAGAGCCATTCAACAGGGTCCAAGAGAAGGTTTTGGACGACAATGAGGACTGGGTACACAACGAGGTCTGTCGTGTCAAATCGTCTTTCAATATATATATAAACTCCAATCCAACAGCTTCTTACAAACACATCACCACCTTTCTACTACTTTCTCATATAATGTAATTTTGTTGAGCTAATTCATAGATATTAAAAGACTATTTTGGGCCATTAATTCAACATGGCTTATTTGTTCCAAGGAAACGTATGGCTTTGGTGCATACCAATGGCAACCTCAAAATGAAGTATTTTATTTCATCTTACTACTTCAACTTCCAAATGTTACAAGGAGATATTGACCATATCAACTTACACATTACAATTAGCTAACAAAAGACTAAAGTGTAAAATATCTCAGTTGATGATAACACTGGTTTTTTTTTAAAATATAATACCAAATAAAAAGGAAAATGAAAATAGTATATAAGGGTAAAGCAACACTCAAAATAATAGCAACTCCCTATAAGAAATGAAAAAAAAAAACAACTAAAACTCCAACCGTCAAATCTATCATCAACAGATCAGAAAAATTACTAACAACATCAAGACCATTGAACCCTTTAGAATAGGTCATAACTCTTAATTCGCTATTGGCTAAGACATAAAATATGGTTCTGAAGCCAGTCGAATGAGGATGAGTTCAATGTTGACTTGTCAAGAAACCAACATCAAGCCAAATAAATGTTTTTATCCTCTACCTCTTTCACGTTTGTTGACAATTTAAAAAACAGTTTATCATTACGCACTAACCATGTCGTCCACACCATTGCATGCTAAATCATGGCAAAACCTCTCCTAAACTTAGTCTTTCAATCTAAAGAAAGAAAAAACTTGAAAAGAAACCTCGGCTCCCCGAGAAGAGCCAACTGAACTCCTAACCACCTAAAAATTATATCCCATACACTAGAAGTTAGGTTACAAGTAACAAATAAATGAAAGGTTAATCCGGATCAATCCTCATAAAGAATACAAGAGATGCCCTATAAATTCATAATGACCTTACTTTCAAACAGGTTTTCCCTTGCTAGAAATTTTTCCTGCAAAAGCTAGCAAGAAAAGACCAACAGCATACATGGGCCCCAACTGTCTCAGACATGGAAAATTTGGATTCTCCCCTAAATAAAAGGGGCTTAAAGGAAGAATAACAACCCACTAGAGTTTGGTAAGCACACGCCACAGAGAACAAATCATCTCTAGTAGGTCTTCAAACCTGCCTATCATTCTCCTCACTAAACTGGAACTTTTAGAGGAGCAAGAAGAAATCAGAGAACATAGATTCTTCATGGATGAAGAACGGTCTCCTCCAACCAAGGTCACAAGAAATTCTCCCTTCTTCCATTTTATGAATCTCGTTCAGAGTTATTTCTTGCCTTTGGGAGATGGTGAATAGACTCTAAAACCTAGTTCTAAGAGGCATATTCCCTATCCAATGGTCTTCCCAAAAGAAGTTTGAAGACATGTCTCAACCTTCTTAACAAACTCTGCCTCAAATCAATTGGGAGGATCGTCCTTTTTTGAATCAAGAAGGGATACTCTTTTCTACCAAGAGGTGGAAGAACGAGATTTCAAGGATCGACCTCCGTGCAAATAGGTTACGAAGGAATGACCATATATGGCAAAAAGGATATTGAACTAAAGACCAGAAGCATCTAATAGAAGTTTTCGTCTCCATTTAGCTAACTGGAGATCTCTAACACCCGAGTCTCTCTCCTTCATAGACTTAGACACAACTGACCATCTCACCTAAGAGATATTGGAATCCCATTTCACACTTCCCTAAAGATACCTTATCTGAATCCTAACTAGCGTCTTCCTCACTTTTAGAGACATTTTTAAGAATGATAGAAATAACACAAAAATAGCATTGAGGACGGAATTCAGGAGAATAACTCTCCCCCAAGACTAAAGATTCTCAGGTAGACTCCAACTGAGGGTTTGCACATACTGGCTGCCCTAGATACTTAAAAGGAAGATACTCAATATTTCAATGGAGGAAATCCTCTACTAAGACTAAGAAGAAGGGATAAACATTAATCTCAATCAAGCTACTCTTATGGAATTTAACCCCAAGTTCAAAAGCTAACTCAAACCCCCTCAGAACCACTTTAATAGCCTGTTGATTCTCCACTGAGGGATCTCCCAATATTAATGTATCATCGCCATACTAAAGGTGGATAATCTCCCAATTAGAAGAGCAAAATTTGATCAACCCGCTAAGGCCTTCAACTACCAAGAGGAATAGGAAAGGTGCTAAAGGGTCTCCTTGTTTCAATCCTCTTTAGATCTTAATCTCTTCGATTGGGGTGTCGTTAACCAACATGGCCATGTTACCAGCAAACACACAGGCTCTAATTCAAGATCTTTCCTTATCGTTAAAGTCGAATATGATAAGCATGAAATCTAGGAAGTTTCAACTAACAGAATCATAAGTTTTCTCAAAATCTACTTTATAATGCATTTACCCAAGTCAATAGCCTCTTAACCATAACTCCATCAACTAGCCTTCTCTCTTTTAAGAATGTTGATTAGTTAGAAAATATTAGCTTATCCATCACCAACATTAGTCTCTTAACAAGAACATTAGCTACTAGTTTATATAGGGATTCAAATAGAGAAATAAGCTGGAAATCTTCCAAAGAACAAAGTTTTTAACCTTAGGAATAAAGGTCACAAAAAAAGAAACAAAATTGTAAGATGAAAAACAATGAAACTCATCAAACACAATCCTTACATTATCCCTTAGCATGCTCCAAAACCTTTTAAAAAAGAAAGATTAAAACCATCTAAACTTGGTCCCTCATTCCCCCTTACACTTACACTGGGACACCACCTCATCAAGCTTCTTAAGAAAGAAGGAAGATATTTAAGTCTATTATCCTCTACATATAAGGTTCAAAAAGGCACCTCATTGAGCTTGGGCCTAAAACAATAAGTTTTTTAAACTGTTCAAATAAATAATTGACCACCTCTGACCGAATGTCGGATACACCCACATTCTAAACCTTCCTAACCTTAAAAACTAAAATTAAATTTCTTCTACTTCTACTTCTATTTGGATTCCATCCTTTAAAAGCAGCATTAAGAGATTTAAGGTTCTCCATAAGGAAAAAATTCTTTCAACCCTAAATCAAAGAAACAAACCAAAAATTAAAAACTAACTCAAAAAAGTCAAGATGAGATAACCATTGAATAAAAAACTGTTAAATTTTAGAGCTCCACGACTATTATCATATTTAAGAGTGATAATCAAGGAGCTCCATTCTAGAAATAAAAGACGAAAAAGCAACACAAATAAACTGCCTTTTGAAGTCATGTTCGAGTCTTTAAAATTACATAGTTACACTTGAACTTCATAATTTTGCTTTTTTCATTGTGCATCAAAATATAAGAAAGATAGAGGAATATGTAGAACCAGCATTAGAACATAGTTAACAAAGGGAATTGAAAATAACTAGCACTTCCTCCACCATTCATCTAGTGTGTCTAGCTCATTAAGTATCAGAGTTTTTTATAAACAGAAACAGGAGTATCCAATCACAAGTTGCTTCTAACAAACACAGCACCTTTCTACCACTTCCTCACATGATTTAATTTTGCTCCAATAAAACAAATGGCTTTGTTGCGTACTAAAGTAGTGGCAACTTCAAAAAGAAGTATTTTACTTTACTTTAGTACTTCAGTTCATGTTAGTATTCAACTTCAAAATGTTACGAAGAGATCTAGATCTACATGTTACAACTACGTAACAAAAGAGTAAGGGTTAAATATATCACAATTGATGATAACACCACCCTTACTGTATGGAAATTTCCAAGTCATGCTTGAGTCTTCAGAAATGCATAATTACAGTTGAATCTAGAACAATGACTGCACCGGTTTGGGAGATAGATTTGCCACACAGTTGAACTGTCGCAGGAAACAAAAGTCAAATGTAATGTAATTATGTTCGTGCCTCTTTTTTTCAGTAAAGCTTAATGATAGGACATGCATGCATACTAACCTTCTCTTGTTTATATTTCTCACGAATAGCATTGAGGGAGCAACCTTTGGTATTAAGCTGCAGATCTTTCATTGCAAGAACAACGGTTTTTAGCTCTGAAGCTTTGCAGTTCGTATAATGCTCCAGAGTTGGAGTCTGCATTAGATAGATCCACGAGACTCTTTAAGTTTTCATTTAGATTTTAACAATGGTAAATTTGTAGTCAACGGTTCATACCCATGGATGTTCTGAGTGGTTGAGGGTCCATCTCGCAAGGAATACAGCCGAAGCAGCCACAAGAGAAGGTAGAAACTGTAAGAAGCTGTATTCAACAAGAGTAAGCTCTGCTAAATAATTTGCCAGGAATTCCAGTTCAACACGAGGATCCTGTATAACAAGATAAAGTTCAACACATTGATTTTACTGAATATCTTTTGTAGATAGTGTATACCAACAATAGTACCTTGTAAGAAGATTGTGCTGCTTGAATGAATCTCCTGAAAGGTAAAAAAAATCAACATAGTTCAATGAAGTTTTAAGGTCTAGAGGATAAAATGTGAATAAATAAATAAACACAGTACATTACATACCTGAGAAAGGTTTTGGTTGTGGGAACAGATAACTGAAAACGCAGAAGATTAAGAACTTCCTTCTCCATTTTCACTACCTGTCAAAAGGCACTTATTAGGTGTTTGTGTTTTATATATCGTTCATCATGTATCCTCTAGTATGTTTTAAATACGCTACCTCTGCTTTTGTGTATGTATTATCTGTGATGAAGCAAAATTCTTCCACTCGAGGAGCACAAATCTCTTCGTACTTTCTTTAAGCCATGGAGAAAAGAAGCACGTGTTAGACCAAATGATAGTGAAGAAAAATATACATGATATCGAAGATGATAGATAATCAATTGTGAAAGTTTCATTACTAGATTGTTAAGAAAAAAATTGCATTATGGGAAATCTCTAAAATTATCAACAAATACAAGTTGAAGACCAAAGTAGCATTTTGGAAAATAATATAATCGCTGAGGATGGAAAGGTGATTGACATTATCTGCTTATATCAATTTGAACACCTTAAAACTCCTAATTCATAAGAAGAAGAAGCATCAAGAAGTATAACTTTGAGTTAAGGGAACTTATATTAACCAGGACAATTACAAAGAATGTTACTTACGATGCAATGAACATACAAGTAACGCCAAGCAATTGGAGCTTGTGTTTCTGAATCAAACATGTCGAGAGAAACCGATCAATGAGGTTAACAGTAAGGTATAGAGTATCTGGAACCAACTTGTATTCCTCCGAAACCTGAAAAAATGAATAGGAAACCTTTAACAAAGCCACAACCAAAGATTGATGTCAAACATCACATAATTGTAATTAGAGATTCTCTATTTCAAATGAAACTATAGCAGAATCATGATAAGGAGTTGTAGATTTCTATCACATAGTATATATATCCTATCATTCCACTATGTTTTGATTGAAAGGCGGAGAATTCATTGACAAGATTATTGGAACAAGTAAAAATGTCCTCAAATACAGGAAAGTAGATGATGCCAATGCTGTGAGACTAACCTCCACAAGCCAATCAATCAGAATCCCGCGCATGCTTGGAGAAATATCTAGCTGCAATCTCTCCATGTAATTGGTTGATGACCTTTTTTCAAGCTGAAGAGATTTCACCAAAACTTATCATCAATCTTTAGTAGCGAACCATATTATTATGTTTTATTCTTAGCACAAAAGAAGTATTAATTTGGAATGTTCTTTTATGCAGCAAAACTTACATTGTAATATAAATGTTGCTAAATAAAATATGCTCCTGGTTAACCTAGAATACTTGCTTACAATTGTAAGTTATAATATGAAACTGAAATAACCTTATCATACAACATGAGAGATTTTAATAGGCATTACTCACAAACCTCAGTTACTCGTGCTTTGCAGTATATATCAGGGGCATAATCACTCCAAACTTGAGAATCCTTTAACTCTTTATCAATGTCCACAATGGTCAGGCAACCTGAGGCTCCTGGCTTCTCACAAATCATATTTATATCTGCACAATCCAATCAAGACAACATGACAGTAGTTAAAGAATCCCAACATCAAAGATATTTTTATCTCTAGTGAAATAATGAGTTGCTTAAAAGTTGTTTGAGCGAGTAGTCGAGTTTGTCAAATAATAATTTTGCTTAAATACTTCTATGTTAAACTCATTATTTGGTGCTTTGAGTGTTCAATTGGGAAATGGGGAGTTGCATAAAATTAATTCGTACAATTAGTAACTCAGTATATGGTATTATATACCTAAAACCTGTTTTATACTAGTAGTAAAATATGAGATTATTGAAAGAAAAAAACCTGTGTTTGGACTTGAAGAGGTTTCAAGTTCACCAGAGTTCACAGATTCTTGCATCGAGAATGCAGTGTCTGTCATAACATGTTCTCGAATGTTGTTGGACATACAATGTCCAGTAGGCTCTTCATCCAAAGTTACCGCAGCAATAGTGTCATTTGACTCTACCATTGCTTTACCACCCCCTTGTGCTGATGAAACTTCCATGGAGACATCTGAAGTTAGCTTTGTGTTTTTCTTTGGGTAAACTCCTTTGGCCTGTAAAATGGATAGTCAACTGGCATTAACAATGACAATAGCAACAACAATGTCTTTCACTGTGATAATGTTCTATTGTGAATCATGTTTAACAACATACTATTTGAAATATACTGTGAATCATTATCTATAGCTCCATCTACCTCTTCCTATTGGACTATCTTTCATCTAATCTACTCGCCTCAATAGAGTTTGCATGTTTCCTCTACACGCCTTTCTACCACCTAAGACGAGATTCTAATGTTTACATAAAATCGAAAGCATTGTCTCTAATATTATTACATTGCAAGTTGTAAGAACAGCAGTCCTAGTTCAAATGAAAACATATGTCAATTACGTAAACACACACGAGACTTGATCATAGAGTTCAACCAATTGTACATGTATTTTCGATTACAGAATGGTAAACTATGAATCATACCCAATTCAGGTCTTAAAGCCTTGAAGTGAAAATTTACAAAGAGAACAATTCACAAACAAATCGTCACTACTTCACACTAATTCCTAGAATCATATGATATTGACATAATATGAACTACGCATTTGATATCTAAGTGAGATTTTTCACCTGTAATTGAGACTGTTTAACACGTTTATCACGCGGGTTTACACCGATGTTAGTAACATCAGTAAGCCCGGCCCTTCTCTTCCGCCGAGGAAGATCAGGCACAACCACACAAGTCTTATTCTCAGAAGAAACACCTCTTTTAGAACTCACAGCTCTGTTAACATTCTTCCCTTCATTCTTAGAACAAGACTCCAAAACCCTCGCCCTCGATCTCGTAACTCTGGGTGGAAGCTCTCCCACTTTGGCACGCAATGTACTGCTACTTACTCTACTCATATCGCGCGCCTCGAACAGGAAGAGCAACCAAATCTACTTCAAAACAGGTAAATCATACAAACCAATACCTGTTTTTCAAACAAGAAACCAACATAAGTCACACAAAAACAACAAACAATACTTTAATGTAACATTGTGCGGAGTAAAAATAACCTAGATAAAGAACGAGGTTGCTGTGAAATCAATCATAATCAACGAAAATAAAATTAAAAAAATAAAACAAAATCTTATTTTTCAATTCCAATAAGAATCAACAAACATATGAAGTTCAGTTCATGCATATTCAAAAACGAGAAAAAAAAATGAAATTGGTACATAATGTAGGTTAATCTCAGATCTAGAGACGAAAATGAAAAAGATTTGATAGAATATGAAAATTACTCAGTAGAGTAGAAGAAAAAGGTGAAATTGAGAAAGAAAGTGTGATGAGAGAGAGAGAGAGAGAGAGAGAGAGAGAGAGAGAGAGAGAGAGAGTTGATAGTGATATAAGAAGAAGAGGAGGAGGAGCGTCACTCGCTCATGAGCGGGACGGAGCCACAGTTCAAACTTGAAAAAAAAAAAAACATTACTAGTTTACTACTACATTACAAAAACGTTATTTTCATTCTTTCTTTTTTTTTTTCTAATCTCCCAATTAATACAAAATATTTTAATTCTTTTTTCAAAAATAATGTTTTTAATTTTTTAATCAAGTCATACATACCATTTATTGATGAAAAAATTGTTTTTTTTATAAAATTGATGTTTTCGTGCGTTATTTGAAAAACTAATTACAATATTCATATAAAATTATATAACGTTCATGTTATTTGAATGTTAAATGGTCAATATAAAATAAATATTATTGTACGTGACTATTTATTTTTATAAAGTTATTAAAAAATTAACGTTATAAGAATATAAAAAATATTTTTTTGCATGCTAAAGTCAATTATAATAAAAAAAATTATACTGTTAATTTATTATTATTATTTATTTGCATTATTATATAGATGATTAAAATAAAAATTAATTTTTTTTTTTAATATTTAACGTTTATGATTAATTAATTATGTAAAATAATTTTATATAATATGATATATTTAAATTAAATATTTCACTAAAAATAGTTTTTTATTTTATTACTAATTTTTTTATTAAAAAATATGTTTTTTATGATTTTGATTTTGACTTGACTGACAAAAAAAAATGACTCGAGTGGGGGAAAACATTTTAGATTGTGACATGAGAAGCAAAAGTAGTAAGAAATGATATTAGCTTTCTTGCTCTTTTATTTTGTTTTTTTTAGATGGCTCAATAAATCGATTTTTTCTATACTTTTTGGGTGTTGACATTTTATTTTCAACTCGTATGTGTAGTTTTGAAGTAATAAAAATTAGTTGGTTTAATATATTTTAGTTTTTTTATTATTTCTTTTAATCATTAATTCTTTTATTTTAAAAGTTGGTTATTTGGTCCTTCTATTTTAGTGTTTGGAGAATTTTCATCATATTTAAATGTAGTTTTTGTGACATGATAGATTAATTGATAATTTGGCAAAACTTAAGTGACGTAAGTGAAGATTTATTTTATTTATAATTAATTTTTATTTTAATAATTATATAAATTTTTTAAAGTTTAAAAAAAGGATGAAAATGTAACTCAACTAATATAGTTTTTTTTGTTAGTTAAGTGTTTGATCACTGACGACGTCATTTATTTATATTTATGTATTAATATTCAAGTCTCACTTAAAAAAAGTGACACTCAAATAAGATGAATGAAAAATATATTTATATGTGAAAATTTATTCTAGAATTAAAATTTTTAATTTGTAGTTTCAAGTTAAAATAAAATTTAAATGTAAATTTTTTTTATTTAAAAGCGATTAAATATGTCAAAATCAATTATACACCTCAATAATCGATTTTGCCAATTTAAAAGTAGAAAACAATATCCTCACCACCTTCATTCATATATAGACAATAGTTTGTGTTTGAAAGAGTTTTGACATTCTTTGGTTCAGTGATACATATTGATTTTGAATTGATTAATTTTGTTAATTTGATTTTATTTAATGTGACTTAAACAGAAAATTAGAGTATTTAATAGAGCATTGATTTTATTAATTTTGTGACGTAGAATTTTGTTAGGGTTTACGCGAAATCTTGACCCTAACGTAGAGTTCTGGTAGGGTTTTTGTGAAATTCTGACCTAACATGATTTATGTCGGCATCATACAATGACAACATGAATTTCCTTCAACATTCATGAACTTCTTGTCGCCTACAATCTTATTGTCTCCACCTCTTGCGCAAAATAAATTATTTGTACATGTTTTGAAAAATGCATGCGATGTCCTTGTTGCCCACTTTGATAAGCCTTGTTTGAAATTTAGTATGCTTTTGATAAAGATATCGAAAGAGTCGTATGAGGTCAAAATGGAGTGATGCAATAATAACCACATGAAAGATTGATCGCAAACAAAGAAAATTCATTTATGTGTTCCATTGAATTACATGAAAAATTGTTGAAATCATAGGCATCAATCACTAGATGGGAGATGACACCCCTTATAACAAAGTTTTGAAGGTGAGAAAAACACTTAGAAGGGGGGTTGAATAAGGGTTTTAAATAAATATGGCAATAAAAACAACACAGTATTTTTATCCTGGTTCGTTGAACTCAACTAATCCAGTCCACCCTACCAAGGTGATTTGCCTTTCTCAACAAGGACTTAATCCACTATATTCAAACAGATTACAGTGTCAACCACTAAGAACAACTGTCTTAGTCTTCTCAAGAAATTCTGACCACAACTTGGTCTTCTTAAGGAACCTTTTACAAATAAATGTAAACTAACAAGTGTTTAAGATGCTTCTAAAAAGCTATATCACAAACTGTGATTTTTACACTTAGATTAAGAACGAGTAAAACTATTCAGCTTATGAAATAAAATTGTATAAGAGCTTGAGAGTATTTTTAGATTTGATTTCTCAGTAATTCGTCAACTTTGAAATGTTGTTGAAGACATCCTTTATAGAGCAGAAAGTCCAATGCTTGAAGACTGTGCTTAGTAGAATAGTAGTAGCCTTTTTGTCTTCTATTGGCTTTAGCTTTTCCAGAAGAGGAATGTTCAGACAAATCCCTTTTGTCTGATTTCTTGTGCCATACATGAATAAGGAAAGAGTCGTTTGAAATATGCCAACGGATATATCTTTGAATAATATTTTCTTCAACAAGCTTTTGTCTCAAAGTTATCAACATCAGAGTCTTGATGTTATCAGAGTTTTGCAGCCAATGTGCTTCAGCGTGAATATCACTCAGAGTAGAGTTTGAATAACAAAGCCTCTGTACTTGCAGCGTAAAGTACTTCAGAGTCTTCTTGAAACAATGCTTGAAACTCTTCATACAAATACTTCAACTACGCTTCAGAGTCTTCTGCAGCTTCTGCTTCAGAGTCTTCTGTAGCTTCTGCTTCAGAGTCTCTTTTGGCAGCGCTCAGAGTCTTCTGATGACTTGCTTCAGAGCTTTGCGTAGAGTAATGTTCAGATGCATTTTTGCTTCCATAAGAATATTTATTTTAATATCTGAAACAAAAACACTTGAACAAAATTAGAGTATATATATTTTCTTAATACAAAATTTCATTAGAGTTATCATCAAAATATAGAGATATATTTAAACATCAATCTGTGTTCTAACAATCTCCCCCTTTTTTATGATGACAAAAACATAGAAAATTTTGTTCAATAAAAAGGATAAATATATAACTCCCCCTGAGATAAAAAATCTCCCCCTGAAATGAATACTCTAATAGAAGAAAATACCATCCTTTTTGCATGAGTATACTTTTCAGATTAAGAGCCTGGTTAGAATCCTGGTTAGAATATACTTTCCAAAATCAGAGCTTGATTTGCTTTCCAGAATCAAAGTCTGGTAATAGCTTAATTTACTTTCCAGAATCAGAGCCTAGTTTATTTTTCAGGATCAGAGCCTGGTAATCAGAATCTGGTTTGATTTAAGATCTGGTTTGGGGATTCTCAGGGTAACTTCAATGAATTTTGTCAGATGATACGTTATAGTTCTGAAAGACTAAAATTCAATGTTAGTTATAATATGTTATGTCTGAATTCCATTTTAGTAACTATTTATTTTTGAACAAATAGAATTTCTTTTTCTCCCCCTTTTTGTCATAATCAAAAAGAAAACTTTTTAAGACAGAAAAGAATAACAGAAAAAAAACAATATAAGAACAGATAAGGAAACAGACAACTTCATTGATAAACAGAATCCAGAGAATAATCAGATAAACAACAAGATAATATCAACAACCAAAAAACATCAAACAGGTGCACAAACATAACAGAAAAAGAACTAGGTTTGGCGAGAGGCTATCATCTTCAGAAGGTCTGTGATTTGAGAAGTATATTCCTCTTGTCTAGACATCCAAGTCTTAATCTCATATGTGATTTGTTCTTGCTTGATCATCCATGTTCTGATCTCTTTGTTGCTGGCTTCTAGCAAAGCAAACTTTTCTTCTAAGTCTGGTCTTTCTGTCTTGATTTCAGAAGAAGCAGGTGCAGATGCAGATTCAGTAGCTGGAGCACTATCATGATCATAGCAGATGCAGATGCAGTTTCTTGAAACACAGAATTAGAAGCTTTTTTAGTCAAGTCATACATATTATTTATTGATGAAAAGATTGTTTTTTTTTTATAAAATTGATGTTTTTGCGCGTTATTTGAAAAACTAATTACAATATTCGTATAAAATTATATAACGTTCATGTTATTTAAATTTTAAATCGTCCATATAAAATAAATATCATTGCACGTGACTATTTTTATTTTTATAAAGTTATTAAAAAATTAATGTTATAAGAATATAAAAAATATATTTTTGCATGCTAAAGTCAATTAAAATAAAAAAATTTATACCGTTAATTTATTATTATTATTTGTTTACACTATTATATAAATGATTAAAATAAAAATTAAATTTCTTTTAAATGTTTAACG